TCCTCCTCCCCTGCAGCAGAGGCAGCTGGGGGCGGGGTACCTTGTCTCCCCGCTCTGCCCCACGTGCGGCGAGGCCCCCGAGACCCTTTTTCACAGAATCTGGGGATGCAGTTGCAGCCGAGGCCCTGGCTATGAGGACTCGGATTTCCTTCTTCCTCAGGCCTTTCGCGGGCCAAGATCAACTCCCCTCCTTCTGGCTTCGCGGCCTTCCTCCCTCCTCCCTCACCACTCCTTCGTTCTCTGACGGGCGGGGTGGGGCGACGGCGTGGACGGTGGGGCGGGATCGGGGCGACTCTGAGCGCCCGCTCGACGCCGACATCACGGCGCGTGCGCGGCATGACTCGAGCTCTTGCCTGGTCGTCTTTGGAGACGGGTCGGGTGGGCAGTTCAGCAGCGACGCCCGTAGGCGCCGCGTCGCGGCTGCCGCGGTGGTGATGGAGCTCACCCCCAGCGGCCTCCGACGCCTCTCAGGCGTCGCGTGCGGCCTCGACGGCCGCCATCAGACTGCTCCTCGGGCTGGGCTGCGCGCCTTCGCGCTAGCCCTGGCCACCTTCCGGGGCCCACAGCTCTACGTCACGGATTGTGCCATGCTTTTGCGGGGCTGGGAGAAAGACCTGCACCGCTCAGGCGGGGGCACAGGCCCCAACACCGACCTCTGGCGCCTTATTAGAGCTGCCCTCCTGGAGCACGCCGGGGAGGTCAAGGTCACGTGGACCCTCCGCCACCTCGACCCCGAGGCCCCCGAACTCTCGGAATGGGAGCGACGCGCGGCGGAGGGCAATGGCGCTGCCGATGAGCTCGCTGGTCAGGCAGCTCGTCGCGCCTGGGGCGCGGCGCTTGTTGGCACCGCCCCGCACACGGACACGTGGGACTGCACGGCGGCCCTCGTGCGTAAGCGTGCCCGCCAGGCCTTCTTTGATGCCTCGGCGGCGGCCCCATGGGCCGCGGCTCGGCCTCCCCGTGCCATTGCGGCCCACTTCCCCCCCATCCAGCAGGCGCTCCTCGCCTCAAGTCACTGCTTCGCACGTGCTGCTCAACATTGGGCTTGTGCCCTCTGCCATCAGTTCGTGCCTGGCACTTGTCTTGTGGAGGCTTGCGCCTCCCCGTGTTCGGCAGAGGGAGGCTCAGGCGAGCTGCACCCTGCCGACATCATTCGGGACGCGGGGGCGGAGGTTCGGGTGGGTGGGAAGGCTCTTCACTCCTCGCACCGCGTGCAGCTGTCGCCCCGCCACAGTCTGTTCTTCTGCGCGCGGTGCGGATGCACTGCCTCGACCAGCCCCGTCAATCTGCTCGGGGAGTGCGGCGAGGCCACTCGGAAGGGGCGCGAGAACCTGGCGCGGATCCGCAAAGGTCTGCACCCAGGGCGCCGTGTCCCCTCGGCGGTAGCTGAATGTGACCTAGGTAGGGCACGCCGCGAAGTTGCGCTGCGTCGCCCACCTGGGGTCTTATGACATGAGCCCTCGGTGTTGCCATAGCTGCGCCCCCACCGCATGTTTATGGCAAGCAACTCCGAGGCAACTCCGCCTCCTCCTCCTCTTCCTCCTCCTCCTCCTCCTCCTCCTCCTCCCCTCCTCCACTCCTCCTCCGCCTCCTCCTCCGTCCTCCTCCTCCTCCCTCCTCCCTCCTCCTCCTCCACCTCATCCTCATACCTCCTCCTCATCCTCATCCCCTCCCCCTCCCCCTCCATCCCCTCCCCCTCCCACCTCCACACTCCTCCCTCCTCCCTCGCCGCCTCCTCCCTCCATCCTCCTCCTCCTCCTCCTCCTCCTCCTCCTCAATCCTCCCTCATCCTCATACCTCATCCTCATCTCATCCTCATCCTCCCGCCCCCCCCCCTCCAGTCACTCCGCCCCCTCCCCCTCCTCCTCCTCCTCCTCCTCCTCCACTCCTCCCCTCTCTCCTCCTCCTCCTCCTCCTCCTCCTCCTCCCTCCCCCCCCTCCTCCTCCGCCCTGCGACCGGCGGGCAGGAGTCTCTGTCGGAGGTCGTCGATGGCGAGAGGCGGAAGCCCCGGAGGCCAGCGCCCGGCCTTGCGGAGGGCGGCCCACGCGAGAGTTTTTTGTTGGGGAGGACTCGGCCTGCGCAGAAGACGGCCCCGAGATCATTCGGATGAGGAAAAGAGGTACTCGTTTCCCCCTCCTTCTCTCCTCCCCTCCTCCTCCCTCCGCCGCCCTCCCCCTCCTCATCCTCCTCCACTCCTCCTTATAGATAACTCCTCCCTGTCGCACCCCGAGGCCAGTTTTTAGGGCGGGCCGGGCGTTTCGCCTGAGACTTCCTCACCATGTACGATTCTGCAGCTTAAAAAGCGGCAGCAATGTCGCACATGGAGGGCAGGTGTTTTTCAAAATGTGGTTTTCGCTTTAGCGCCGCGTACATTCGACCAACAAATTGCAAAAGTTTCACAGATTGAGGGGGTGTGGTTTTTAAATGTGGTTCTCGCCTTAGCGCCGCGCACATTCGGTTCTGATCATTTGCAAGAGCTTCACGGATTCAGGGCGGTTCCTTTTCAACATGTGTTTGTTTTATGCCGCGCGCGCTCGACTTGATCATTTGCAAGAGTTCCACGGGTTCCCATGATCAACGTACCAGAAATTGCGTTTAGAAAGGATTCAGGATTATGCGGGTGCAGCAGTTATGTTGATTCGCTGTGTGAAGACGCAGCAGTCAGGTTGATACGCGTTGCAATCCTGGGAGCAATGTTTGAGTACGCTTCAGGATCTTAAATCTGCTGTCTTCCAACGAGGCAGTTCCGTCAATGGAAATGAACCGTTGTAGGGGCCTATGCAAAGGGGGCTTGGAGGGATATGTGTTCAACATCGTTGATGACTCTTGGGTTTCCACTGGTCCTCCTCCTCCTCCTCCTCCTCCTCCTCCTCCTCCTTCTCCTCCTCCACCTCCTCTTCCTCCCGACCCCGAGATCCTTCGTAGGAGGAAAAGAGGTACTCGTTTCCCCCCTCCTCTTTCTTCCCCTCCTCCTCCTCCTCCTCCTCCCCTACTCCTCTCCCCCTCCTCCTCCTCCTCCTCCTCCTCTCCCTCCTCCTCCTCCTTTCCTCCCTCCACTCCTCCTCTCCATCCCCCACCTCCTCTCCTTCTCCTCCTCCTCCTCCCCCTCCTCCTTCTCCTCCTCCTCCTCCTCCTCCTCCCGACCCCGAGATCCTTCAGTTAAGGATAAGAGGTACTCATACCCAGACCCCCTCGGGCAATGAAAAAGCATGACCGGAGGTTTTCTGCCATTTTCGGCCCCTGGGGGCCCTTGCCAGCCCTTGAGACCGTCAAAAAATGATTCAGGATGAAAATCAGGTCCAGGTGAACGGGTCGAGACCTCCAGGGTCGCGGGTGGGTCGCGGGTGGGTCGCGGATGGGTCGCGGGGTGTGTCGCGGGGTGGGTCGCGGGGTGGGTCGCGGGGCGGGTCGCGGGGTGGGTCGCGGGGTGGGTCGCGGAGTGGGTCGCGGGCCCCTACTGTAGTGCGGATTCGGGGTGGCCGCACAGTTCTGGGACTTGCAGCGGTCTCGGGCGACGGGGGCCTCCGGAGTCCTCAAGCGGAGCGCGCGGTGAGGTCGTTGGGGATTTCGAGGCCACCGCTCGGTCCGTCACGACACCGGTCTCGACCTCCAGTGCTCAAGCTGGTCTTAAGTCAGGCCTGCCCCTCTACAGGAGGAAAATTCAAGAAGATTCAAAAGATAGTATTTGGAGTTTTTTTTATATGTTGTATTATGTTGTGGCATGTTCGGAGTAGTATATATTTGTCGTCCAAAATCCGCTTGTTAGGGGACATGCCCGACCTAAGGCTGGTCAGGTTTGACAGTCCCCCCAGCAGGCTCAACAGAACATCAGCCTTGAACGTCTCATCGTTTCCGCGCAGACCTCCCAGGAGCTGCCCCCCAACATCCGCGTACGACCTTTGTGCACCGTGCCGCCGCGCTGGCGTCTCCCGAGGCGTCGTCGATGCCCCACGCATGACCGCATGAACGGTACGGTGCATAGTTATTCGGACTTCGGAGTCGAACAAGTATACACCCTATTACGTCGGAGTGGGGCCCTAAGGGAACCCAAACATGGCACGGTGCACGGGCACCGCTTTCGTACAGCCTCGTATGACCTACGTCGGGCTCAGCAGCCCTCCCAGCAGGCTAAGCAGAACAGCCCTGAACGTCTCGCCGTTTGTCAACCCCGCTGCCTCCTTCTGCTGCTCGCAGCACTTTCTGCCGCCCCACTCGCCGCCCTGATGATTACGATAATGATGACGATGCCTGTTGAATAGCGCACTTTGTAGTCGTGACTATGGGTAAGTCGGGCGTGTCCCTCTACAGGGGGAATATTCAAAAATGGGGAAAAATCCTCTGGTGACGTTGTTCTTTTATTTTTGCTCATGTTTCAAATGTTGTTAGACTATCTGTTGCTTTCCCTCCAAAATCCGCCTGTAGGGGAACATGCCCGACCTACGACTATGGTATCGGGCTTGCCCAGCGCCTTGGCGAAGCTGGGCTGGAGGCTCACACGTCTCGAGCCCGCCTGCCCTCGCCGCACGCAGCCGCCCGCAACGGGAGCTTCCTCCCAACCTGCGCTTGTCGAGTGGGGGATCGGCTACAGACTGGATCCATTCCCGTCGAATTTACAAACGAATGCGCAGAATGCTCCACGGAGCAGTCTACGTATTTTTCGTAGACGATTCCCTACTCGAATCCATTCCGGGGTAAGTCAGTCTTGTAGTCGATCCCCTACTCGAGCTTGGCGGAGCCCGCGGCAGGGACAGCGCGGAGACCAGCATCGGCGTGTTCGTGGCCGAGGCGGACGAGCTGTCGTCCGTGCCGGAGCGTCGCTCCTCCTCCGCCAAGGGCGCCACGCCGCAGAAGGAGCCAGCCAGAGCCCCCAAGGGAACGCTGTACATGGGGCTGGCCCGCTCGCTCTGCTCCCAGCCATCGCACTGAATCCCCCGGCCTGGGTGCCTGGGCATCGCGCTACCCTTCCCTCGTCGCCACGGCTCGTCGCCACAGCTTGATTCGCCTCCTCTGCCAGGAGCGCCACGCCGCGGAAGGCACCAGCGAGAACCCCCCAGAGGGAACGGCCTGCAGCAAGTACGCACGTCAGAGAAGGAGTCGGCCTGCTAGCAGCCCATACATGCTCGCATCGTGAGAATATCACGACGGGAGGTGTTTTGTCGTTTTTGGCCGTCAGGGGCACTAGCCGGGCCCCAGGCGCCGTCACAAAGCGACTCGCGATGATGAACCAGCCCTGGGGGCCCATGCAGTCAACCCGCATAATCAGGATGGGCAACCTTCCCAAGGATACCCTTGCATCCTCGCCCCTTCTGCCCATGCTTGGCGGCTCATGCTGGCCGCGCCCCGCTTGAAAAGCCTCGGAATGGCCTTCCAAGGCCCTTGCATCCTTATCGCGCGCGATACGGGCCGACTGTATTGGGACACATCCGGACATCGCAGGCCTGAGCACCAGTGGAAGCTTCTTCTCCACCACTGGCCGATGGGGATTCTTAGAGGCCCTGGGGCACCTTGGGTGACTCAGATCTGAATGGAGAGTGAGCGGTGCTCTAAGATTGCCTACAGCAGGAGCTCGTATTGACAGGCCAATGTTCTCTCTGCGTGTCCCGTTTCTGCGTGTCCCGTCGCACTGCCTTTGGTTCGGACCAAGGAGCCGCAGGGATGGTGGCTCTGTCGCCGACCGTGGCTTTGGTAGCTCAGCGGGTCCTCTAGAGATCCCTGTGGGTGAAAAATGTGATAGGCCAATGTTCCACCACCACTACCATAGGTAGGACGGGGGAGAAGGGAGGATGGGGAGGACCTCCCCTCTTTCTTCTCCTCCTCCTCCTCTTCCTCCTCCTCCTCCTCCTCCTCCTCCTCTTCCTCCTTGTCCTCCCTTTCCTACCTATGGTAGTATTGGTGGAAAATCGGCCCATCACTTACGTCCGTGCCTGTAGCCTAATGGGATGCTGGAGCGAAGTGGCGGGGGCGGGTCTTTCCACCTATTTCTGACCCTGGCCAGTTTTCCTTGAGTTGCTGCTGCTGCCCTAGCCACCTTGTCTTGTGACCGTATTGTTCGTTGCAGCCTGGGCCAGTTTTGTCCAGCCCCCCGCCACTTCCATTTCTGTGGCATCTACTGGCCTGCGTGTCTATCCGACTCCCACGTCGGGGCGAGATCGAGTCTCAGATCTCCCAAACGTTCTAGAGGACGCAGGGCCCTTCTCCCAGAACGCTAGCTGCAGCCGCGCTCCGGGGATCTTGGGAACTGTTTGGCGTTCTGCCAGCCAGCGCGGAGCACACGACGAGGCTGCCCCAGGCAAGCGAGCATGCATGCGCCACACGCGCTCAGCCGCACCTCCTCCCAGTGACACGGCGTGGCGGGCCCAGGCGAGAGCGAGCATTGCATCCGCCACACGCGCGGCCGCACCTCTGCCCAGTGGTACGGCGTGGCGGGCCCAGGCGAGAGAGAGCGTGCATGCGCCACACGAGCGGCCGCACCGCTTCCCGGTGGCACGACGCGGCGGGCCCAGGCGAGAGAGAGAGAGCATGCATACAGTGGAGGCTCATGCCAAGAAACACCCTGCGTGCCTCCAGGGTGCCATGGGTTTCTTGGGGGCTTCGGTGCTTCTGCTGTGGGAAGCGCAACGTTCCCACACCAAAATTCCATGGGCGTCCCGGGGTCTCAGGGCTGGGGGTCTCGTGGAGGGCTTCTTGTGGTCGGGCCCCCCACCGTAGGCCAAGCGCGCGGCCGCACCTCTTCCCAGTGCCTCGGCCCGACTGCGGACCTGGCACCCCGGCCCTCCGCGTATGCTCCCCCGCTCCGGGCGGATCGTTGTTCTCGACGTGTTTTTGTTGGCTCGTGTACCTGGGCGGTGGCAGGTACGTACCACATGGGGGAGATAGGCCGATCACGCTACCGTTCCCTCGTCGCCACCGCCGGAGTCGCCTCGACATGCTGCTCAGAACGCACCCAAACGAGGTCCGACGAGTGTATCGGCACTTCCTCGACAGAGTATGAACGTCGCTTGTTGGGAGCCCGTCAGCATGATGTTCCTTCGTGTTTGTCCGCAGCCCTGGCGCTTCTTCAGCAGCATGAAGCTCAGGGGTTTACTCACCACGGATGCGTGTGGTTAATTCCTTTTTTTGCTCCACAGATTCACTCAGAGGATGCATGCGTGCGCACCTGCAGCCACTCATACAAACTATGTGCCATCACGTGCTTCAGTGGAAAGGAGGCTCGGCTCGGGTGCGACTGGTACCCCGGGGGCCGCGGGGCCGTTTTGGGGCTCCTTGGTTGCTCTGGGGCGAAGTGCCTCTTGTGATGAGCTTGTTTTCCACCACCACCACCACCATACATTGGAGGGGGAGGGGGTCCTCCTCTTGCTCCTCCTCCTCCTCCTTCTCCTCCACCTCCTTCCTCCTCCAACTTCTGGTGGTGGTGGTGGTGGAAAAAAGACCCATCATCTTGGAGTCGGGGTCGGGACCACCAGGGCTCGCGGGCTAACGGAGGAGTCCAGCGGAAGTCTCCGCTTGCGTGTCTGGGGGCCCCGTGGGGCGAGGACGCTGCCGAGCCAGGGCGAGGGCACGCCAGAGAGAGTGGCCGCCGCCGGCCAGCATCGTTTCACCGATCCCCATCCCCATCGCCATCAACATCTCGAGCCCCACCGTCTCACCACCTCGGTTGGGGATGTGCCCCTTCGAAATTCGAGGAGAGCGTCCTGTATCTCCATCAGAGGGGTCAATCGGCCAGTGGGGCCCAGCCCACGCTGGTGGGGATGGGATCGGTTAAACGTTGCTGATTTCGCAGTTCGAGCACGCTCAGGTTTGCCTCATGTTTTCCAATTTTGTCTTTGCGTCTCCATGGTCGCACTACTTCAGTTTTGAGCGTGATGGTCCTCGCCTGTGTGTTCTAATGCGCTCCTGCGCTCGGCCAAGGAGTGTTTCAACGGGTGGCCCAACGCAGAGATGAGCGCGTTTTCGGGGTTCCCAGGGGATCCCCGGTGGAGTCAGTGGCTAAACGGTGCTCAGTGGGCCGAGACAGGCTCCCATCTTCGTCTTCCCCTGGCGGGATATTGCCAGGCGCCTGGGTCTGCAGGGTCCCAGTCTGCGTGGGCCTGACATATCCGCAGCCTCCTGGCGTCCCGCTGGGGGGGGAGGGGGGGCGGGGCCCGTCTCTCGAGCCATGGCATAAGCTTGTGATGTTCCAACCTACTTTCGCCTTGATCACCAGAGAGAATTCCGAGCACCAGAAAACTATCCAAACAACTCCAGGGTTTCCACGTGTGGGTCCTTGGGAGACACTCGTCCGACACTGTTTCAACACTGTTTCGACACTCTATCGACACCTTTCTGGGTGCTCGAATTTGTTTATGGGATGTGGCCCTTACGTACGATGGGAACAACACAAGCACAACCATGAAAACTTGGGGGTCCATGCGGATTTCGCGGGTCGGCGCTGGACCCCCTTGCCTGGCGCGCGGAGCGCGCCAGGGGCGGCGCTGAAGGCGCCGCCAGAGGGGCCCAGCGCCGATCCGAGGAATACGCGTGGACCTCCGCGTTTTGATGCTTACGTCATTGTTTGTTCCCCTGGGGATGGGGGCCAGTCTCAGGACGCCTCCTCGAAGAAGCATGCCTCGAGGACCAGGAGGGAGAAGGCGGAGAAGGAGAAGGCGCACCGGCCTTGGGGGTGTGCGGGCGGGGTTGCGGCTGGCGGCATAAAGGCTTTGGCAAGCCGTCGTCGTCGTCGCTGGAGGAGGAGGAGAAGGAGGAGGAGGGGGAGGAGGAGGAGGAGGAGGAGGAGGAGGAGGAGGAGGAGGAAGGAATCAGGTGAATCAGAAAATGCTGCGGAAAGCCTCGGTAACAGCGAAGGGAGGGTGGTGCCTCAGCACCGAAGGGCACCCCCTGGGAGCCCGCCTCCCCCCCACGCAGGGGAGGCCGAACCCAGAGGCGGCACCAAGGAGGGCCCGCCCTTCACAGAGCCCCAAACCCAACTACCCTCAGACCGAAACGATGGAGGACTTCTCGCGCGCCCCGTGCCAGAGATGCTCCCGTCCGTCATCAGCACAACGATCGGGATCCACCCGACGACGACGACGCCGTCGACGTCGCACAGACGTTGCAATGTTCGCCAGAGTGCTCAAGGCCTTGCTCAGCATCTGCCTGAACTCCGCAGGCCTGACTATGGCGATTTTGCCGAACAGATCGCCGGCCCCCAGCCCTGGACACCCACCTCTGCTCGGCAACCTCCATGACAGCTCTGCCGATGATCGACAGCACCACCAGGTCGGGAAGGGCAAACTTTCTGTACAGTGGGGGCCCGTGCCAAGAAACGCCCTGCTTGCCTCCAGGGTGCCCTGGGTTTCCTGGGTTTCGACGGCTCTGCTGTGGAAGGCGTGACGTGCCCACATCAAAAATCAATGGACTTCCTGGGCTCTCAGAGTTGGTTTTCTTGTGGAAGGTTTCTTGTTGACTGGCCTCCACTGCTGGACCCGTGCTCGCGAGCGGGCTTCGGGTTGACCCAAGGACGTCTAGCGACAAGGGGGTGGTGCAATAGATTTGGTGCAATAGATTCGGGGCGTGCAATACATCCCAGGGCGCAAATGTCTCGCGTGCGATGCATTACTTGCAATACAATGCAATCACACTCTCCGGCACAGTACGACCGCAGTCAAATGCCTCAAATCTATTGCACCACCCCCTTTCAGCTGGACCACCTCTTGGGTCACCCAAAGGGCTCACGCCCGCATCGCCAGGCTCCGGCGCGCCGGCGCCCCTCCGAGAGGTGCGCGCGAGCCGAACACCGAGACCACTCGAGCCGAAAGGGCTGAAGGAGGGATGATGATGATGAGGAGGAGGAGGAGGAGGAGGAGGAGGAGGAGCGGGAGGAGGAGCGGGAGGAAGAGGAGGAGGAGGAGGAGCAGGGAAGAGGAGGAGGAACAAGGGGAGGGAGGAGGAGGAGGAGGAGGAGAGGAGGAGAGGAGGACAGAGGACAGAGGACTGAGGACGGAGGAAGGAGGACGACAGAGAAAGGAGGAGTGGAGAGGAGGAGGAGGAGGAGGAGGAGGAGGGGGAGGGGGAGGGGGAGAAGGAGGAGGAGAACGAGGAGAAAGGAGGAGGAGGAGGAGGAGGAGGGGAATGAGGAAGGGATGAGGAGGGAAGAGGGTAGGAAGGGAGGAGGTGGGGTAGAGGCTGGAGGTGGAGGAGGAGGAGGAGGAGGAGGAGAGAAGAGGCAGAGAAGCACGAGGAGGAGGAGAGGAGGAGGTGGGAGGAGGAGGAGGAGGAGGAGGAGGAGGAGGAGGAGGAGGAGGAGGAGGAGGAGGCAGGAGGAGTAGGGAGGAGGAGGAGCAGGAGAGAGGAGGAGGAGGAGGAGGAGGAGGAGGAGGAGGAGGAGGAGGAGGAGGAGGAGGAGGAGGAGGAGGAGGAGGAGCTAGGAGGAGGAGAGGGAGGAGGAGGAGGAGGAGAGGAGGAGGAGGGGGAGGAGGAGGAGGAGGAGGAGGAGTAGGAGGGGGGAGGAGGAGGAGGAGGAGGGGGAGGAGGAGGAGGAGGAGGAGAGTGGTGGAGGAGGAGGAGGAGGAGGAGGAGGAGGAGGAGGAGGAGCAAGAAGAGGAAGGCTCGAACATCTACATGACCAGTGGCGGGCTGATTTTCAATCCCAGGACTCTTTGAGGGTCGTGGGCGACGTCGCGGTGGTGTGGTGCATCCTTTGTTTATCCGATTTCCGCGAAAGCAACACAGACATGTATACACAGGGTTCCCGTATACACCAGGATCCGATGTCTTGTGCAAATGCCAGTGCGGGGCTGGACAAGAGGCGTCGGTACATAGAGTTTGGCGCCCTGCTTGCATCCTCGCCCCTTCGGCCCATCTTTCACGACTTTCGCTTGCCAGCCCCTGTTCGAGAACGCCAACATGGCCCTCCGAGGCCCCTGCATGTCCCTACCCCTGCGGGTCGGCTGTAGCGGCGTCGCGCCTGGTGTGCAGTTGTGGCGGCGCTGGAGCGGCCTGGCCAAGCATGGCCGCCTCGGCCCGCGAGGGCCCGGAGAGCTGCAGTCCGTCTTTGTGAAGAGGTGGAGGAAGGAGGTGGAGGAGGAGGAAGACGAGGAGGACGAGGAGGAGAGGAGGAGGAGGAGGAGGAGGAGGAGGAGGAGGAGGAGGAGGAGGAGAGGAGGAGGAGGAGCGAGGAGGAGGAGGAGGAAGCGGAAGGAGGAGGAGTAGGAGAGGAGGAGGAGGAGGAGAAGGAGGAGGAGGAGGAGGAGGAGGAGGAGGAGGAGGAGGAGGAGGAGAGGAGGAGGGAGGAGGGAGGAGGAGGATGAGGATGAGGGGAAGAAGGAGAGGAGGAGGAGAGGGGAGGAGCGGGGAGTGGGGAGTGGGAGGAGGAGAGGAGGAGGAGGAGGAGGAGGAGGAGGAGGAGGGAGGAGGAGGGAGGCGGAGGAGGAGGAGAGGAGTATGAGGAAGGAGGAGCGAGGAGGGGGTGGGAGGAGGAGGAGGAGAGGAGGAGGAGGAGGAGGGGAGGTAGGAGGAGGAGGAGGAGGAGGGAGGAGGAGGAGGAGGAGGAGGAGGAGGAGGAGGAAGGAGGAGGAGGAGGAGGATGGAGTGAGGAGGAAGGAGGAGGAGGAGGAGGAGGAGGAGGAGGAGGAGGAGAGCGAGGATGGTAGAGGGGAGGAGGAGGAGGAGGAGGAGGAGGAGGAGGAGGGAGGAGGAGGAAGGAGGAGGAGGAGGAGGAGGCGGAGGAGGAGGAGGAGGAGGAGAAGGAGGAGGAGGAGGAGGAGGAGGAGGAGGAGAGGGGAGAGAGGAGGAGGAGAGGAGGAGGAGGAGGAGGAGGAGGAGGAGGAGGAGGAGGAGGAGGACGAGAAAGGAGGACCTTTTGGACCTTTTGCGCAGCACAGCGTGCTAAAAAGAGGAGGGGAAAACAGAGGGAGGAGGCCAAGCACCTGCACCCAAAGTGGCTACTCCGTAGCAGCCACCCCCAGCGCCTCCTCCTCCCCGCAAGGGGAAGAAGGAGCGTGGGAGGGTACGGGGCTTGCCCTCCTGGCACGCTGTGCTGTCTCCCCGGCGACGCAAGCGTCCACCAACCTCGCATGCGAAATCGCTTGCGAGGCCTTAGACGGCCCCGCATAGCTCGGAAACAGCCCGCGTTTAATTCGGCCGAGATTCTCACGGCCTTTGCGAGTGGGGGGCTCGCAACCTTCGGCCAAATGGCGACCGTCAACGGTCGCGGTCCGACCACATCTAAAACAAAAATGCAAAGAATGCAGGTCCCAGAATCCCAGACGGTGGGAGGGGTCGAGCTCCAGCCCACCAACAGCGACGCCACCACGAGCCGCGGCCACCACGTCCCGAGGAAACCCAGGAGGGACGACCAGCGGCGAAAAGCACTCCGTCTTCAGGGCCTCTAAGAGGCCCTGTCGGGACGAAAGAACAGAGCACAGTTGGCACCTGAAACGGGACCCGACTGGAATAAACCTGTGAGAGCTGGCCCTGGCAGCGTGCTCGAGGCGTCGGGTCTCGGCGGTCTTCGGCCTAGGCCGCTCGACCTCCGTCGAGGCCTTGGACCGCTTAGGATCCGCCGAAGAAGCGTCCGCCAGAGCCCGCCGAGTACGTCGACGCACCAGGGCAGCAGTGAGGTCCCAAGCGTCTGTGGCGGGGACTGTCTGGGCGGCCAAGGTCCAGGAGCGCTCAGCGGCTTCAGAAGCCGCTTCATCGGCTAACTGATTACCGCTGGCAAGAAAAACTTCATGATGGGAGAGGGAGGAGTCGTCAGGGGACAGGTGCGAGGGCGTCCATTCGACCGAGACATGCCCTGGGCCTCGGTCGTCGATGGCACAACGAATTCGCAGCCACAAATCGCTGTTCCTCCCCCCCAAACTCCAAGGTCGGCCCCGACTCCACCCCGTCATAAGAGGCTTGTGGTCAGTCACAAAATGGACAGGACCTGTGGTGCCTTCCAGGAAGAGTGCGAAAGCCTGCAGCTCCGACCTGGGCACCGTTTGCGAAGGGCCTCGCAAAATCTCGGAGATGCCCCCCAAGACGGCCCAACGCAAAGGTCCCTCTCCAGGTCGCGCGTCCCTGACCACTACAACAGCGGAGCCACACCGACGGCGACGAGGGTCGGACGAAAAGCGTCCTCCAGATCCGTCCCCGAAGCCGATCAACGGGCTACTGCCAGGGTCTCTAGAGCAGGCTCCAAGAGGGACCTCACCTAGTTGGGCTCTGCTCAGGCTCTCCAACGGCTCCCTGAACACAGGGTGGGTGACACGGGTAGGCGGAACACCTCTCAGCCAAAGGCTTGGTTCAGATTCAACAGACGCTAACGCTTGCGGAATCAAATGATCAGTAGACGTAAAACCACTGTGGTCTTTATTGCAGGGGCAACGCCAAATGCGATGCGCAAGAGTTTCTTCCTCCTGCTGTCATCGCGGACACAGGCGGTCTGCGGGCTCGCTCAGAGGGCGCTGCCTGTCCATCGTCCACTGGGCGCCCGTGACCACGCACAAATTGAGGCCGAACAGGTCGAGCTCCCCCCTCTTGGCGAAGTGGCTGAGCTCCAGCCTGGCCCAATAGAGGTCAGCTCCTTCAGCCAAGCCATCCCCTGCAATGTGCTTCGAAGCATTGCTCCAAAGTTGAGCGCGAAAATCAGTGACCACGTCGTCCAGTAGCTCGGAGATGTCGA